GTTGTTCAGGGCTGGTTGTTCAGGGCTGGTTGTTCAGCCGTTGTTCAGGGCTGGTTGTTCAGGGCTGGTTGTTCAGCCGTTGTTCAGGGCTGGTTGTTCAGGGCTGGTTGTTCAGCCGTTGTTCAGGGCTGGTTGTTCAAGAGTGATTGAGGCAGCCTTAACAAGTCTTGAGACGGTGTCGGGTCTTAAGGGTCAGACCTAACCTGACCTTCGTAGTGTTTAGGGGGATATCCTCAAGTAGTTCCCCAGCTCTTAACAGCCCTGATGACCTCTAACAGCCTCGTACCGTCAAGCGTGGAGCTGAACTGGACGTTAAACAGCCTGTTGGACCAAGCTGTTACTCTAGATAACGGAGATTTGATATCAAGATCTAATTCATTTGGTCTGGGGTTTGCTATCTTTACGAGCCGCTGGGATAAATGTGGATTGATCAGACTGTCTTATCCAGCATCTTGGAGGCGCCGGGGATGGGAGATGGAGACCTGATTTCAGTCATTAGTCTGTCTCTATCCCTTAATTTAGGCATCTCTTAAGGTCTCTTGAGATCTGGTAGTCCCAAAGTGCGAGAAATTTTTCGAGGTGACGATTCAGATCGAATTTTTTCCTGCTTTAAATTACGACCGAATCTTTTTCCTGCTTCTAAGACCGAATTTTTTTCCTGCTTCTAAGACCGAATTCTTTTCCTGCTGCCGTTCGCGTCTTGTCAATATTGGCCGCGGAACTTGACAGCTCTTGCCAGGGAGTCATTTTTTCCTGCTTGTGGGAGTGCTTGATGCGTGAACCAACAGTCTGGTCTCTCTCGCTCCATTGTATTCTTAGGCTAATTTTTTATTTTGATTTTTTTTCACAACATTCAGCGCGTCAGGACCTGCTGGCCGGGGGGAGGGATTACAGGGTTCAGGGGGGGGATTACAGGGTTCAGGGGTGGGATTACAGGGTTCAGGGGTGGGATTACAGGGTTCAGGGGTGGGATTACAGGGTTCAGGGAGGGATTACAGGGTTCAGGGGTGGGATTACAGGGTTCAGGGGTGGGATTACAGGGTTCAGGGGTGGGATTACAGGGTTCAGGGAGGGATTATAGGGTTCAGGGAGGGATTACAGGGTTCAGGGGTGGGATTACAGGGTTCAGGGGTGGGATTACAGGGTTCAGGGGTGGGATTACAGGGTTCAGGGGTGGGATTACAGGGTTCAAAGGGGGTGGTAGTGGCCAGGAGGGGGGATTACAGGGTTCAGAGGTGGGATTACAGGGATCAGAGGTGGGATTACAGGGTTCAGAGAGGGATTGCAGGGTTCAGGGAGGGATTACAGGGGTTCAGAGGTGGGATTACAGGGTTCAGAGGTAGGATTACAGGGTTCAGGGAGGGATTACAGGGTTCAGGGGGATTACAGGGTTCAGAGGTGGGATTACAGGGTTCAGGGTGGGATTACAGGGTTCAGGGGGGATTACAGGGTTCAAAGGGGGTGGTAGTAGCCAGGAGGGGGATTACAAGGTTCAGAGGTTCGATTACAGGGATCAGAGGTGGGATTACAGGGTTCAGAGAGGGATTACAGGTTTCAGGGAGGGATTACAGGGGTTCAGAGGTGGGATTACAGGGTTCAGAGGTGGGATTACAGGGATCAGAGGTGGGATTACAGGGTTCAGAGAGGGATTGCAGGGTTCAGGGAGGGATTACAGGGTTCAGAGGTGGGATTATAGGGATCAGAGGTGGGATTACAGGGATCAGAGGTGGTATTACAGGGTTCAGAGGTGGGATTACAGGGTTCAGAGGTGGGATTACAGGGTTCAGAGGTGGGATTACAGGGATCAGAGGTGGGATTACAGGGTTCAGAGAGGGATTACAGGGTTCAGGGAGGGATTACAGTGGTTCAGAGGTGGGATTACAGGGTTCAGGGGGGATTACAGGGATCAGAGGTGGGATTACAGGGGTTCAGAGGTGGGATTACAGGGTTCAGAGGTGGGATTACAGGGTTCAGAGGTGGGATTACAGGGTTCAGAGGTAGGATTACAGGGTTCAGGGAGGGATTACAGGGTTCAGGGGGGATTACATGGTTCAGAGGGGGGATTACAGGGTTCAGGGAGGGATTACAGGGTTCAGGGAGGGATTACAGGGTTCAGAGGTGGGATTACAGGGTTCAGGGAGGGATTACAGGGATCAAAGGTGGGATTACAGGGTTCAGGAAGGGATTACCTGGATCAGAGGTGGGATTACAGGGTTCAGAGGTGGGATTACAGGGTACATAGGTGGGATTACAGGGGTTCAAAGGAGGATTACAGGGTTCAGGGAGGGATTACAGGGATCAGAGGTGGGATTACAGGGTTCAGGGAGGGATTACAGGGTTCAGAGGTGGGATTACATGGTTCAGGGAGGGATTACAGGGATCAGAGGTGGGATTACAGGGTTCAGGGAGGGATTACAGGGTTCAGGGGGATTACAGGGTTCAGGGGGATTACAGGGTTCAGAGGTGGGATTACAGGGTTCAGAGGTGGGATTACAGGGTTCAGGGAGGGATTACAGGGTTCAGAGGTGGGATTACAGGGGTTCAAAGGAGGATTACAGGGTTCAGGGAGGGATTACAGGGATCAGAGGTGGGATTACAGGGATCAGAGGTGGGATTACAGGGTTCAGGGAGGGATTACAGGGATCAGAGGTGGGATTACAGGGTTCAGAGGTGGGATTACAGGGTTCAGAGGTGGGATTACAGGGTTCAGAGGTGGGATTACAGGGTTCAGAGGTGAGATTACAGGGTTCAGAGGTGGGATTACAGGGTTCAGGGAGGGATTACAGGGTTCAGAGGTGGGATTACAGGGTTCAGGGGGGATTACAGGGTTCAGAGGTGGGGGTGGATGCCCCCCTCACTCAGGGGGGGCTCCGGAGAGTAACCAACAAGGAGAAGAACACCTTAAACAACCATCTATTTATCTATCTATCTATCAAGATTTTATCTATTTTAACATATTATGATAATAACATTACCAAGAGAGGAAGTATAGTTCCTGTAGGGAAGTGACGCAGTATAGGGGGGTCTTCCGTATGGGGCAGGATGGGGGGGTGACATGGGGAGTAAAAAGGAGTATCAGGGTGATATGGAGGGGACCAGGGAGACGGGAGGGGCAGGGAGGACCGGCCATTAGCGAGGGTTGGAACTAATCTTGATGTGGCGTTTCGTGCTAAGGGCGACTTGACCCCCTGCCTATGACCTTCCCACACCCCCTCCGGGGGATAAAGTCCACAGTCACTCTGCAAAGTTTGTTGAGGCGTACTCACCTAGTTGTGCTTGCCCGGGGTTGACATTTGGCTCTTTGGTCCCGCCTCTCAACTGTCAGTTTTCATACACACACCATCACCACCACCACCACCACACACACCCACACACACACACACACACACACACACACACACACACACACACACACACACACACACACACACACACACACACACACACACACACACGCGTAACAAACTAAGCTGGTTTCAGAAGCCTATAGATCTTGCATCATAAGTTTCACAAGGAACTCAACTACTTGCAGTCAACAAGGAACATTTCACCTGTGTAGCAGCAGGAAAGGTCAATCTCAAAGGTTAAAGGGTTACAATGAGTACAAAGGAGTTTCAAAGATCACCAACAGGGGTTACGAAACAAAAATGGGTCCGTCTCCCCTTATGCTAAGTCACAACTGTAATAGGTTATTACAGCAATAAATAATTGCAGTAATAACCTATTTAAACCTATCTAAACCTATTATCCTATCTTAAGTTAACATGTATTTAATGTACAGATCAAGTCACTTATGATGTCAACGGACCAGTCTACAAGGGCCGTGAAGAGGGTTCGAATTGTTGATTCGATGCTTCACACCATTGTGATTTCAGCGTGTAATGAGACAGCGACGTCATTTAGAATAGGGGAGACAAGCTCATTCAAGAACCTACAGATTTACCGTCAATTTCACTAGGAGTATGTTGACCAGACCACACACACTAGAAGGTGAAGGGCCGACGACGACGTTTCGGTCGGTCCTGGACCATTCTCAAGTCGATTGTGATTAGATTCGTGATAGCAGTCCCAATCGACTTGAGAATGGTCCAGGACGGACCGAAACGTCGTCGTCGTCCCTTCACCTTCTAGTGTGTGGTCTGGTCAACATACTTCAGCCACGTTATTGTGACTCCTCGCCTGCGATTTCTATAAGAATTCGATCATCTGGATGGACAGTGAATAAGATTGGCGTGTTCGATTCACGATAGCACTTACGCAAGCACTTACGCACCTGGGGCCAGATTCACGAAGCAGGTACGCAAGCACTTACGAACCTGTCCATCTTTTCTCAATCTTTGGCGGCTTTGTTTACAATTATTAAACAGTTAATGAGCTCCGAGGCACCAGGAGGCTGTTTATAACAATAACAACAGTTGATTGGCAAGTTTTCATGCTTGTAAACTGTTTAATAAATGTAAACAAAGCCGCCAGAAATAGAGGAAAGATGTACACGTTTGTAAGTGCTTGTGTAACTGCTTCGTGAATCTGGCCCCAGGTGCGTAAGTGCTTGTGTAAGTGCTTCGTGAATCTGGCCCCAGGTGCGTAAGTGCTTGCATAACTGCCTCGTGAATCTGACCCCAGATGTGTAAGTGTTTGCGTAACTGCTTCGTGAATCTGTCCCCAGGTGTGTAAGTGCTTGCGTAAATGATTCGTGAATCTGGCCCCAAGTGCGTAAGTGCTTGCATAACTGCTTCGTGAATCTGGCCCCAGGTGCGTAAGTACAGTTAACTAAGGGTGGACTAGTGGATGTAAGAGAGCCATTACCCCCCGGTCCTATTTCACACACACACACACACACCCACACACACGCACACACACACACACACACACACACACACACACACACACACACACACACACACACACACACGCACACACGCACACACACGCACACACGCGTGCGCCATCAAACAATCCCCAACACGTAACTTAACACCTGTAATCTTCTCCTCCTACAGTTGGCGGACGACGCAGCAACGAGAGTGTGATGGCGGGCGGGAGGACGCTACAGAGTGGCCCCCGCGTCCTGCCGCCGCTGCCGCAGGACGCCGCAGACACTGACGCAGCCGCCAGCGACGCCAGCGACGCCACCACCGCAGACAGCCTGGCGGCGGCGAGCACCAGCCGCCACTACGAAAACTCCTCCGTCGGCCAAGGTAGTGGCGGCCATGTTGTCACCTCCACCAGGTTTGACAGTGTGTCTAGGGCTGCCTTGGAGGATTCCGGTGGGTCCAGTGTTGCTCTGGAGGAGTCCGGTGGTTCCAGGGCTGCCCTGGAGGAGTCCGGTGGTTCCAGGACTGCCCTGGAGGACTCTAGTGGGTCCAGGGCTGCTCTGGAGCAGTCCGGTGGTTCCAGGGCTGCCCTGGAGGACTCTAGTGGGTCCAGGGCTGCCCTGGCGGAGTCCAACCCCGAGACTTCTCCTACCTCACCCGACCAGCCCACTGCCCTGCTGCGTCACCTCGCCTCGGATACCCCCCAGGTCCCTCCTGTCCCTGGGGCAGGCGTGTCCCGTGCCCCTATACCCCCTGTGTACGGCCACCATGCCCGTAGATCAGGTGTCCCCGCGTACCCCCAGTACCGCAGTACCGCGTCGTACCGCAGTCTCCCCTACATCCGGCCGGTCTACAGGTCCCCATATGACTCCTACAGCAACGCCCCCAGCAGAGAGAAGGCCGTGAAGCACGCCCACAGCCACGCCAAGATGGGCGGCCTCCCCGCCCCGGAGAACGACCTGTCGGCGGTCTACGACTCGTTCGCGTACCCGGACAGTCGTGACCTGACCATGGGGGAGGAGCTGCCCCCTGTGGCTCGCCCAGGTAACCAGCGGTGCATGGCGCGGGTGTCTGTGTGCCCCCTAGGTCACACACCCTAAGGGGCGACGCCCCCCTTGATGGCTTCGTCTGCATGTTTGGGAAATATTTCTCCGTTCTCTCTAGTTCCCTTCCGTTTTCTCTCTCTCGAGCTCAATGGGTAACTTTAACACCCAAGTGAGCAGTGCATCCCATCTCCTATAAGCGGCTTCCTGTGTAGACTGGGGTCCTGTGTAGACTGGGATCCTATGTAGACTGGGGTCCTGTGTAGACTGGGGTCCTGTGTAGAGTGGGCTATCCATTTCCTTATAGCCTCTGTAACGTACAAGGAAAACTTTGCATGCATTGGAAATCCTCTTTTAAGATCCATTTATCTTTGCTGTGTTCTGAGGACCAATAGTGTGGCGCTTGGCCGCCAGGGTGGATCAACTACACTGTTGGTGGGTATGTGCCTGCCTGGGGCATGTTGTGTTTACTGTTTAGTCCTCCAGGAGCGAGCTCGTAGCTCTTGGGCCCCTCGCTCCGCCTCTCTAATCATCGATTCTACTGACTCCCGACATATTCTCTCTCTGTCTCCTGTCGTCTCCCTCTCTCTCTCTCTCTCTCTCTCTCTCTCTCTCTCTCTCTCTCTCTCTCTCTCTCTCTCTCTCTCTCTCTCTCTCTCTCTCTCTCTCTCTCTCTCTCTCTCTCTCTTTTTCTCACACACACATCCCCAAAAAGCAGCCCATAGCAGCTGTCTTACTCCCAGGTACCTATTTACTGCTAGGTGAACAGGGGCATCAGGGTGGTACCGACAGATCTTCAGCCTTCTTGGAAGACTGTCACAGCCGGGATCCCTCCATTGCCGCTAAGGAACTGGGCGGCTGTCTTAAACCCGCACATTAGCGTCTTCTGATTCGTCCTGCGCCATTTTTCCACAATTGTAGACGTAACATCCCCGCTACATATAGCGTCAACCCTGCTACATATAGCGACAACCCCGCTACATATAGGGGCAACCCCACTACATATAGCGGCAACCCCGCTACAAATAGCGGGCTTCTTGTTGCCATTTCCAGCCAAAATGTCCCTTGTGTTGTTTGCAATATCCGCTCTTCCCTCACCTACAACCATACTTGTGGACGGTCGGGGATTGAACACGGACCTGCATGACGCCACACAACTCCATCATCGGTAACGAAGCACAAACAACCCCCCCCCCTTCTCTCCAACTCCTGTGGAACAAACGAGCAGCAGCGTCCAACAGCCTCGTCGAGGACCGGGCCGCGGGGACACTAAGCCCCAAAATCATCGCAAGGCAGGACATAAAAAAAAGACGCGCTTTAAAAAGCGCTTCCATAATATGATCAAGACATTGCAACATTGGCAGGACAAATATTAGGAAACTTCACCTTTAAAGAGCACAGTCAAGTTGCTGTTGCCGCTGTAAGACAACACAAGCGGATAGCAAGACCTTTTCTAAGGGTGGATATCAAACCAATGACTGTATTTATGCCAGACATTAAACTGCTATCTAGGGTAAGGAATTATTGGACACTAACAGCTCTATTTAGAGCTAGAAAAGTTACTGAATTCATTCAATAAGCCATAAAATAACCTATAAGTGTTGTAATATAGTTGTTACATCTTGTTATAACGTTTTTATGACGTATTGAAACGTTGTTACAACTTGTGTTATGTGTTAAATCGAATGTTATGTCAACGTCGTAGTTTGATCGCGTGTTTGGTAGGCAGAGAGTACCTGATCAACCGGGTTGTGATTTATTCATCAAACTGCGTGTAGCTGCATCTTAATGCCTCATAATCAGGGTAATCCGGAATCCCGACGGTGTTTTCTCTTGCGCAATTTCTCCTTCTTCTCTTGCTGCTTCTTCGTTTATTATCGCGTCCTCGCCTCACTCCCTGTTTCAGTGTTACTTTACCAGTGTCTGTTGTATCCGTGGTGGGGAGAGTAGTTCTTAGTTACACACAGAAACCATAATAGCATGATGCATCAAATGAACAAATCCACCAGGCCCGTGACGAGGATTCGAACCTACGACGGAGAGCATCCCAGACGCTGCCTTAAGATCTGCCCGGATCCAAGTAAGTTCAGTAGAACTTCTGGTTTCAACTCTTTTCGACCATGTCGGAGCTCAGTCGATTAAGGCAGCGTCTGGGATGCTCTCGGACATAGGTTCGAATCCTCGTCACGGCCCTGGTGGATTTCTCAGTTCTTAGTTATCTAACAAAATTATTTTGTCTCAGCATTTCATGTTTTGTATGTTCAGTTAAGTTTACGAATATTTAAGTCGCCCATAACACAGTTTATTTTCAGTTACGTTTACGAATATTTAAGTCGCCAATAACGCAGTTTATTTTCAGTTAAGATTACGGGAATTTAAGTCGCCCATAACACAGAGGTTATTACACGTATATGTCGTGTATGTGTTGCTCACATCATCCGCGTATCATTACCTTTTTAATCAGTTTAATCCTCATTGTTTCTGCATGTGCCTCTTCATTCTTGATGTGATGTTTACATTATCCGTTTTCTCTGGACAAATATCTTCATTCTTGTCTACATTATGTCAACATTTTGATATATCTTAATGTGGTATTCTGGTAACAGTTCCCCCCCCCCCCCGACTGAACGTTCATCAGTGTTACTGTAATTGTAAAAACATTCACTATTCTCAATATATACAAGTTATATCATCCACTTAATATATAGTACTGGAGCTATTTGCAGAGTACGACTCAAGGGAACGCTGTGTGTCCGTCTTTGTCATTACTCTTTTAAAACCTTTAAAAACAAAACAAACATTTACCTTTGTTTACCTCACAGTTTTAGTTATACATATATTCATACACCGCCAGACTCCGAGTTAGCATACACGAGTATACTGGTGTATGCTCTGAATGATGTTAGAAACGGCTCCCCCCCCCCCCCGAGTATATTGGTGTATGCTCTGAATGATGTTAGAAACGGCTCCCCCCCCCCCCTGCCATTAAAGTTGCTAATACATCCATTCCTTCAAGTGAGGGGAATGGGGGGTACCCCTCCGAGGGGGGGGGGGAATAGGGTCTTTCTCTAATATGGACTTCAATAGCATCGTTAACCCAAACCCCAGACCAGAAGATGAAGAGACGACGACGTTTCGGTCCGCCCTGGACCATTATAGACCATTATAGACGGTTTCGGTCCATCGCGGACCATTATAGACGGTTTTGGTCCATCGCGGACCATTATAGACGGTTTCGATCCATCGCGGACCATTATAGACGGTTTTGGTCCATCGCGGACCATTATAGACGGTTTTGGTCCATCGCGGACCATTATAGACGGTTTTGGTCCATCGCGGACCATTATAGACGGTTTCGATCCATCGCGGACCATTATAGACGGTTTCGGTCCATCGCGGACCATTATAGACAGTTTCGATCCATCCCGGACCATTATAGACGGTTTCGATCCATCGCGGACCATTATAGAAGGTTTTGGTCTGTCCTGGACCGTTATAGACCATTATAGACGGTTTCGATCCATCGTGGACCATTATAGACGGTTTCGGTCCATTGCGGACCATTATCAAGTCTAAAATGGTCCAGGACGGACCAAAAAAGTGGTCACTACACACCAAAATCACACTTGAGTGATGCCTCAAATGAACAAATCCACAAGGGGTCGTGACGAGGATTCGAACCTGCGTCCTCTCCTCATGTTCTAGTGTGTGGTGTGGTCACCATATCTTCAGCCACGGTATTGTGACTCTTCGTATGCAATAGTGTCACTCTCACCTGACTTCGGCTTCGGAGGACCTCGAGTTTGGCCTCGGGTGGGGCCCCAGGGAGCTATAGTAATAGAGCTCTCGGAACCCTCTCCAGGTATGCTCCGGGTACCTCTGGAGGTACCTAGAACCTCCTCCTGAGGTACCTACCTGCCTCTCCCTCTAGCTACCTGAGGGAGAGGCAGCTAGAGTGAAGGTCGAGGCATCGTGTGAACTCCGAGGTACGAAGGCTTGTGTTTGACTCTTGATGCTAGAGGACATCATTTCGCTCTTGGAAAGGCTCCGATTGTATCCTAGGATATCTTCTCAATCCTGACTGATATCCTGCAAGGCTGAATGGTAAGAACCAGCCAAGATATCATCATTCAAAATTCCGGAGGTTGAAATTATTGAATAGACTTTCGGTGATGTATTAAACCCTTGCGGAACACCTTCACGGGAAGATCATAGTGTTCCCTTAATGGTGACTTAGAGCGGAGTACTGTGTACTGTGTACTCTGGTACTATGTACTCTGTGAGTTGACTGACTTGATCGACCCCCCCAGATCTAGCCGGTGGCTGAGCGGACAGAACACTGGACGCATGATCCTGTGGTCCCGGGTTCGATCCCGGCTGCCGGCGAGAAACAATGGGCGGATTTCCTTGCACCCTGATGCCCCCCTGTTACCTAGCAGTAAATAAGTACCTGGGAGTTAGTCAGCTGCCACACGCTGCTTCCTGGGGGGTGGAGGCCTGGTCGAGCCCCGGGCCGCGGGGACACTAAGCCCCGAAATGATCTCAAGATAACCTCAAGGGCCCCACACACCAGGAGCCCTGGTCTTGACACCCTGGGTGCTAAGCTGGCTACCTGACACACACTAATTAGTGCCCAACCAATCTATTTAGCTCCACCTGATCACAGGTATCCGATAGACCCATTGTGTTCCTTGTAATGAAGGCATTGGCTTAACCACCCACTGTGAAAGGTCATTTATTTTAACCACTACAAGGCCTGGAGGGTAGGAGTGGCTACCACAACCACCACCACCCGTGGTGGTGGTGGTGGTCGACACACCAACCAGCCTACATGCTGATTGTTGGAGCCAGAAAGCTCAGAGCTCCACTAACTACCACCCTGACGCCATCTACCACTATTTCCTCCGGCATTTTCCCTTCAATTTGAACATTTTTTTCCCTATTCTGTGTTGCTGTTGGTTCACATTCTTGTAGTGTGTTGTATAATGTAGATGTGGTAGAGCCCAATAGGCTCAGGAACCTGTACACCAGTTGATTGACGGTGGAGAGGCGGGACCAAAGAGCCAGAGCTCAACCCCCGCAAGCACAATTAGGTGAGTACACACACACACACACACACACACACACACACACACAATACCTAAGCAACAGGAGACAACGAGTCAGTGTGAGGGGTGAGGTCTCAGATTGGCGAGACGTCACAAGTGGAGTCCCGCAGGGGTCAGTCCTTGGACCTATACTGTTTCTGGTATATGTAAATGATCTCCCAGAGGGTATAGATTCGTTCCTCTCAATGTTTGCCGACGATGCAAAAATTATGAGGAGGATTGAAACAGAGGATGATAGTAGGAGGCTACAAGATGACCTGGATAGACTGAGTGAATGGTCCAACAAATGGCTGTTGAAGTTCAACCCGAGTAAATGCAAAGTAATGAAACTAGGCAGTGGAAACAGGAGGCCAGGCACAGGATACAGAATAGGAGATGAAGTACTTAATGAAACAGACAGAGAGAAAGATCTAGGAGTTGATATCACACCAAACCTGTCTCCTGAAGCCCACATAAAGAGAATAACGTCTGCGGCAT